CGGATTTCGAGGACGGCCACGTGTCCTTCTGGGACGTGCGAGCCCCTGCGCACACCTCCATCGCCGGAGACCTCGGCTGAACGGCAGCGTCTTGCGCCCTTGACTTCCATTTTTTTGATATGTAAAATATATATATATATATATTTACCTGGTTAGTTTTTTACTTATAATCTATTGGGCCTATTTTTATGTCGGCCAGCGCTTGATGAGATGCGTGGAATCCAAGGACTGAAAACGGCCACGGACGGCAACAAAAAACCAACACGGATGTTCATTAGGGCCATCCTACGATGTTTACCCTCCATCAAGAAACATGCTTGGACTTCCGAGTGGGGACCGAAAGGACTCCGAACGGTTCATCCATGTTGACGCATGTTCGATGTTCAATGCTTATTGGCATCCTGAATTGACTTCATCTCCTCCACATTCATTGCAGTGGGCGAGGGGGGGGGGGGGAATCTTCTTTTTATGTGCGCCCTTTTTTTGGGTTCTATGTGCATTGGCAGGGGAAAGAGATCGCCCCAAACTTGTTGGCTTCAGATCGGGTAGCAACGGGCGACTTGGCTCTGATCCAGCGCGCTCTCGCATCAAATTGAAGCAGGGCTCCTCAAAAGATACATTTTGCCCATTTGAAACATGGCTTTTTCCACCAAAATAAAGGGACACCACCACTTACAAGGCAATGTTCAGGTGTTTTTCATGCAAGGATCCCTGTGAAGGCAAGAGACCAAGATGTTCTCGCTGGTTCTCAAGGTTGGAATGACCCCGCGGTTTTTCCATTCCATGTTCTTGCTATGGTTCTTGCTGTTTTTCCCTTCCATTCCCTAGTTTTATTTTTTTGAAGAATCCCGAATCCCCTTCCGGTTAAAAACAAAAAAACCCGAAACCCGGGGAATCGGTCCTTCTGAACTTATCGCAGCAGCAAGTTCTGCTGTCAATTAGAATCAGGTCAACATTGAGCCTCACCTGAGTTACAGATGTTCATGGGTGCCCTCCAGTGCTTGCAGGGCGGCCAATGTCTTTTAATTTCGTACTTGGCTGAGCCTAGTAAGAGTCCACCCACCTAGGTCTGACGTTTGATATGCGTGCGACTTGTACCCAAGGATGGGAGGGTCAACACCGAGCGATGCAGGGATGACTCGCAGAGCCAAGGAATACATGTGTTGCTTTTCTCTCGGAGAACAGTGGTCTAACTTACCTTACGGATCCTGGCGCTGACAGTCATTTTCTCAGTCACCATTTCTTGTGAGATGCTTTTCAAGCCAGTCGCTTTGACTCCATCAACATCGGCGGTTCAGGCGTTTGGGCCAACCATTTCAATGCTCTCTTGCTTTTATTCCCTTACATCACCCCAACAGGAAACTTAAACTCACATTGAATTGGCAAAGGTGATGTTCAAAGACCACCCCTTTGGGTGCCCTCAGGTCAGTCCGTTTTGCAGGATTTCCACAAAGGATCACCAAACAGAACCCCAAAGCAACTCGAGGGAATGGTTCGAAGCGACCCTACTCTGGCTTCCTTCGGCCTCAGGCTGGCGCCCTGCGCGAGCGCTCAGCTTCCAGCGGGAGTTTCGGAGTTTGGGACATGTCGAGTGAGCTGTCCTATGTCCGAGCGTCCCCCCTCTCCAAGACCGAATTTATCGCAAATCTGCAGGGCCGGAATATTTTTTTTTCTCGCCAAAGCTCGGCCCTCACGCTTTAAGATGAACCATCCGCTTCAAGCGGGCTATGCATGAACCACCCGCTTCAGATAGTACCTTATCTTGGATTCAAGTTGCGAGTGGCTGTCCTTGTCAGAATGGGACCTTTGGATCAGAGCCTCTTTCGGGGTTCCTTCCTTCGATGGCGACATGAATCGACAGCCCCTGGAAGGCAAGCCGAGGTTCCTGGGCTCGCTGCTTTTTTGGCTCGGGGCAACCAACCAGTTGGTTGACCGCACCTAGGCGGAATGGGTACCTTTTTGGTTTGGCCGGTTTAGAAGTGAACCAAAAGGAAGCCCAGCAATTTCGGGGTTCCGATTCCTCTTTTGAGAGGAACCCATGCGCGGCTGACAAAATGCGGTGCTTGGCTTTACCGGAGGCTGCGGCATCATTGTGCAGTCATCTCTCAACTTTGTTGTGCTCGGGGCACACCCCGGAACGTGGAACTTGGTCTTTCGGGGACCCCTCATGCAGGTTCGATCTGGGAGAGTAGCGTTGCTGTAACTGTAACTCGTTGGTTGTTTGTCGCTTTTTCTGTAGCTTGGTCACGTTGCAGGTTCATCTCGCGCTTGCTCTTTGTAACTTCCTTCTCCGAGTGAGATCAGTTGGCATGGCAGATGGATTTGGCAGTCTCGATAGGGTTCTAGAACGCGAATGCCTTGGAACGTAGATTCCTTCGCAGAAATTCCGATTTCATTCCTGGTGCCAAACTTTCACTTTCTGCATTTTGAGTGCTAACAGCATGCACACGTGGACAGTGGACAGGTTGGATTTGCCAAAATTGCAATCACTTGTGCTGTCGAGAAGCCCATGTTTTGTGGGTTGGATCCTCCAGAAATGAATGGCTTAGCTGTTGGCTCCTTTGCCTCGAGCCGTATGCTGAGGTCTTTGGACGTCGGCACGGCGAGTTTGAAATGAACCGGATGTGTCTTGGTGGCTTCCCATGAATCCGAGAAGGCAAGCTCCCGTTTGGTTTTTTGGTTAGACGGTGTGCCTGTTTCAGGAGGCAAGCCAAGCGGCTCGTTTCCCGTGAACGCCCCTCGTCCGCTTCGATCGTTGCTCCTCATCTACGCCCAAAAGACAACCCCCGCGATTTGAATACCTGGACCCAGTCGTGGATCACAAGCTGAACAATTCGCCTGTTGAGCAGCAGGCGCTTTGAATCAGCTTTGCTTCTCAAAAGAGTACCACCCACGTAACTCCACGGTTTAAAGCTTTGAAAGCCATTTTGCTGGGAGAATAATGTGTTTTCGTTTTTGAGCCTCTTGTGTTACTGGCAATGGTTGATGGACGGCTCCTTACTTAATCACATTGCTAAACACATACTTGCAAAGCAAGTGTACTTCATGATTGTGAAATGCATATGGTCCGCCGAGTGTTCTTTTTGAGGCAATGCATTCAGGGAGCAGTCCTGGAACAAAATACGTATGTAAACATGCACAGATATGTACAGATTGATAAGTCTACTTTTTGCTACCATGAAACATATGCAGCTTTGTCCAGCGCGTGTGGATCGTTGCTGTTGGACGCACCAAACACGTGATTCAATCGGGCTGCTGTTGCCTGAATTTGCGTGCAGATTGATACATTGTGGTCCTTTTAGCTACTTTCTTCTGGATATGTGCATGTTGCCTTTGCTACAGGAGCCTTCCACTGGCAACTTCGACAAACTCCCGTGAGAAACAAGGATATTCCATCGGCAACTTCGACAAACACCCATCAAGAACCAGTATGTTCGACCGGACCCAGGGGGAAAAAAGCACACACGGATTTTCGACCGGCAATTTGACGAACACCCACCAAAAGCCAGGATTTTTTCCGTGGATCCAGAGGATCCAGCGTACCACGCCTTCCCTTCGGATCGCCGAAAATGGGTCGCCAGGGCAGCGCGGGGCTGCCGCTGGCGCAGGCGCAGGTGACTCACCGGCGGCTCTGCTCGCAGGTGGCGTGGTGCCCCGAGGACGTCGGACGGAGGTGGGAGGCGGTGTGGCTCGGCCATTTGAGCAAAGGCAACTTTTCGTCCTTTTGGTTTCCGCTTTTTGGTCCATTGTAGGTCATGGCCCCAAAGGGTTAACCTTTTGTTTCTGGGTCCTGGGGGCAACTGAGCCACTTGCTCAAGAGCCCGGGTAGATGAAGGTTCGTAAGGGATGCTCCCCTTGCCATAAATAGCTGCAGAATTCCGCCTTCTTAGTTCTTGACGTGGTTCTGGGTAGACCATTTTAATACCGGGTTTTGATTTTGCCTCATTTGGATGTTTGGTGAGCCCCTTGGGTGCCTCGGCTGGTTTCGTTTTGTAGTTGGAACCCCTTGTTTCTGGTGGGGTTCTAAAAGGGAAACCAGAAGTACAAAAGCATATTTTTGTGGGGGCGCCCCAAAAATCAAGTAACCCCAGCAAGTGAAGCCAACAGGTTCTTTTGCAGCAATTCGGTCACAGTCATTGGATCTGCACGGAGGCACCCGAGAGCCGTTGCGCTTCCAATTGGAATGCTTCCCATTGTTCAGGGGAGTCTCCTTTTCTGATTGGAACCCGCAGACTTGATTTTGGAAGACCTGTTTCCGTTTGGATGGCAGGCAAAGGGCGAGATGTATGCAGCCCAGGGAGAGTGATGAAAATTTGAGACACGAGCAGATGGGGTGTCTCGGCCCCAGTCTTGGCGATTAGAATCATGGAGTCCCGACCTTTGAAGAAAACAAGGGTAACCAACATCTCGCTGCGAAGGGTCGGTCCAAAAAAGGCCGCAACGGCCAGAACGCCAAAGGGATCCAAGCGTGCGGCATGGTTGTCTCGGACTAAGGCGGTGTCCCACCAAACAACTCGGGACACAGTCTGGGGGTATTTGTGTCGCATCAGGCTGCCTTTTTCGACTCTGTCTTTGAAGGGGCAAAGATGAATCGAACATGTTCCACGTTGCCAGTTTGGGAAACACACTGGATATGAGAAAAAACACTTTCTTAAGAAAGCACTGGATATGGATAATTTAGGCAAACAATCTGGGAAAACACATTTCATCACTGGATATGAGCGGGAGCAAGTTTCGCTCGTGCTCTTTCTGGAGGCAAGTCTTGCGGTTTTGCTGCGACCAACTCAAGGCACTGATTCGAGCTGAACTGTAAAGTCCTCTCTTGTTTAAGAACGTCCAGCCGATCCTTGGCCATGCTTTTTGGATGAGCGGGCCTGTTGCTGCGGACTCGAAAGCGCCAAGATTGCACCAGCTTTGTAACGACGAAGTCTTGCGAACGCCCCACGCACTTGGCACCAGGGCTTCTAAGAGGGTGCAAGTTATATGAGCTCCATTCTGCGCGAGTTGTACGAGATCCATTCTAGGGTGGTAGGATCTTTGGAATGTGAGGTGGGATTGGCAACTTGGAGACCCCTTCGGTATTTTCCTGTGACCGAAGTGAGTTCACCCCTTGCTTTGGATTGGGGTTTTGTGGATTTCAGGCCCTGAGTTGTCGTGGGCAAATGGGAAACACGCAACGCCACGCGGCGCCTTTCGGCCCTTGGCTCGAAGCGCGGGGCATCGCCCCGTGCGAACGAAGAACCATGGCAGATGTGCCATGGGACCATGACGTTCCCGATAAAGGGGAAGGAAACGAAGCCAACCTGGAGGGCTTCTTTGGGGATTTTCTCTCCCTTCAAGGAAACCAACTCGGGGATGGTTTTTGTCCGGGCCGTTTCATTTCTCGTTCCCAAGGGTTCCTTTGCAGAGGCAAAAATCGAAAAATCGCCTCTGAACTGAGAGCTGTGCGAGAAGCCAACTCAGCGCCTGAAGAGTCGCGCCTTTTCAGGCTTTTTCTTGGTGTTACACGGGATCCCAAAACAAGCCAAAGGAAGGCGAGACGGGCACCGCGCAATTCTTGTCCCAAAAAAACGCCACTGACCAGAAAAAAACAACACGGGAAGCCATAGACCAAGCCCACAGAGCTCTCGGCTTTTCTCCCCGCGCGCGATGGACTGGCTCACGAAGGAGGAGCTGAGCCTTGAGCTGGAGGCCCGGACTTGGATACGCGCGCGCCCCACGGCTCGGCGCTTCGGCGCGCCGGGCGTCCAGAGACCACATGCGCGGTTTGGAAAGCCATGCTCTTGCACTTGTGCTGGTCAATCCATGAGGCAATGGGTAGTCTTTCTTTTTAATATAATATAATGTGTGTAGCATGATTCCATGTGAATGATGTCCTTCCTGCTTAAACTTTGGCAAACCAGACTCAAGATAGGGGCGATGCCTGTTTCTCTGGCACATCTAAACAGAAACCGAAGCAGCGATCAGATCTCCCCCAAATGAGTTGCTGTTCTGGGTAGGGGTGATGACCCAGGTTAGATTCCAGTCAGTGATAGGGAACCACCTGACAAGTGGTTGTCAGACATAAATCCCTATCTAGATGATGTCCATCGAAGGGTGCAGTACACATGAAGTTTCACACCCAAATAGAACAGGTTGCTTCATTTTCTAGGGGACCCCTCAAAAAGGGATTGGTTTCCTTTCGGTTTCCCTCTAAAACGAACTAACACGGGCACCAGTTCGCAATTTTCTTCACTTGCGACGTCCACCAGCGTTGCGTGTAATGCGTTCTGCGCGGAACCCGTTTTTTGGTTTCTTCATGAGGCCATGAGTCCCTAACTCGTATTTGGGAAGGACTCTTGTTTAAGGGGTTAGACAATGGCACATGATTCTCTAATCAAGACTCAGTTCTGTTTTGAAGTATCCCTACTATCCCTACTGCCTACAGCACCATTCCAATCAATAGGCCCTTATATTATGGCCTTGATCCATCAGGGACAGCTTCACAGTTTCTTTTTGAAATCCACGTCTCCAAAACAACGTCCGATTCGCACCAGTCGTGATTGGTTCTTGACTGACCAACCAATATGACGGCTTCATTCCAACCCAACTGGCACGGTCAGAACCTCCGCAGATAGCTAGTTTTGTGTTGATCGCCACTTGAGACTGGGTTCTGGATCCGGGCGAGAGACACTGAGCTCCAGAGTTGGACAAGCTGCATCCTCCATCTCCGCAGCTCGCCACTCCTTGATGGCCACCATTGGGTTTTGTTAGCCAAGATTGAGGCTGGGTAACCCATGGCTCAACAAAAAATTGCTTGAGGCAAGTTTGGTTGTGAAGCTTGCGCCTTGATCTCATTGGTTGAGACTGGGCTCTTCTTTTCTTAGGGGTTGATTCCATTTCCATTCTTTTCAACCATAGGTTCTTTCCAAGCACCGGCTGTTCTCTCTGGGTTTCCGGAGGTTTTCTAGAAGGATCCCTGGAAATGGAAATGGAAGGTACCTCTAGAATCATGTCTGCTGCTTAGGCGGGTCTGAGAGTCTGGGGGTGTGTCCTTGGGGTGTGTGTACCTCTAGCTTCTTGGGCGAGAGGGCGGGCGAGACCGCGGCCGCCTCCGCCATCGACGGGTCCAGGCCCTCCGCCGGCACGTGGAGGAGCAGCTCCTGGAGAGTGAAAGCCGCTGGGAAGCCCAGAGAAAGACCCGGGGCTTTGGTGTTAGAGAAGCCACGTGGGTATGGCTCCAAACTAAAGAGCCAGCGTTACGCAGGTTTTAGGCTTTGGTTCCATTTACCAAGGTGCCATTTTGGTACCACTTTTCTGAGCCATAGCCACGTGGGTGGGGGTCAAAAATCGGAGAAGCCCACCAAAACAAAGAGGAGAGGCCCTTTTTTTGGGTCGCCCGATCGGTACATAGACACATTGTGGGTAAAAAAGAAAACGACCAGGGACCGGTTTTGGTTCTTTGGGTTCCTCATTGTCGGTACGCTTTTTTGACCCACCGCCATGTGTCCATGCACCGATCGGTGGTTTAGCCCCATGTCGGGCTTCGCCGTTTTCTCTCTCTTTTTCTTTTTTTTTTGTTCTTTCAGTACGCAAAAAGTTTGGCGAGGTCCCCCGTGTATTGCCCTTTCTACCCTTTCTTGGGGGAGGGTTCCCCTACTAAAATAAGCTACAGAAAAAATGGTACCCTTTTTCTAACCTGTCTACTGGAGGACCTGGTTACTTTCTCTGGCCAATCCACTCAAGTAAGACCATGTTTTAGCTTTTTGCATCCGAAGCCAACCCATTTCTGAAAAAAAGATCGGGTCGCCCAAATACACCTCCACCATGTAAATGACATACCTGGGCAATAGTTAGCGAGCATAGTTTTTTTTTGTGGATGTGCTAGTTTATGCACGTCACGATTGCTTCAACAAGCTTGAAGCAGAATCGCTTGAAGTAGAGTCGAAGATATTGTTTTGGGTGTACCATGGGGTTGGGCTAAATATGGACCAGCAGTAAGGATACAAACTTTGGTTGGGAGGCAAATGGGTGGGAAAGCCAAAACAACCCAGGATTCTTTGTCTCCCTTTGGCTTCCGTTCACGCCCAACTTTTTGTTCAATGGCAAAAGGGACATGGGGAGGCCGGCCAATGGTCTTGGGTTTCGATTTGTTTTTGAGGCGCTCACTGTGGTCTGACTTTCGTGAAGATCATTGTTACGTCCCAATCCCCTTTGAGGGGCGCCTCGTTTGACATACTGAGGTCCCTGTCCTGATCCAACACTTTCCGCGTTGGGTGAATGATTCTGCCAGAAGTCTGTTGATCTTGAAGCAGCCGCACAAATATCACGCACTGTAGATGCTGCGTCACCTGATTAGAGAACAGGTAAGTGGGCCGACAAGGCTTGCGAATTGGAACCGTTGAGCCAATGGCAAAGTGAGGTACAGGGAACGCATATTCCCAGTGCCTGCAGTTGCAGTCACAAAGAAATGGGGAGGTCAAAAAGCTGGGGCGGCCTCCTGTCGGAGAAATTGAAGACATGTTCATCAATGCCGGCCGGGCGTTTGGAGTTGGTTGGTTGAGGACAGCCATGGGAGTTTCCCAAATCTGGGTTGCCCTCTCCCGGTTTCCCTTTTAACAAAAATAAAGCAGGAAGCACACAGGAAGTCCATCAAGCACACAGGCAAAGCCAAGTCCGAAAAGCACTTCTGGAAAGGGATAGCGGACCTTGCCATATCCATCTCCAGCTT